GTACCGAGTCTACAATCTACAAACATCCGCCAATGAAATGCGAAGAACAGTGAATTATTTCCGATTGAAAATCAAAAATGATATAACTTTAACTTTAGCCCCACACACCGTTTATTAAGATATAAGTCATCGGTTTTGTTTCTTATTTTCTGTGAACTTGTGTGTTGCGAAGTGAAGCAAAAAGCAAACTAAGGAAAATTTAACGAGATATAAAGAAACTGCTTGCGCACAAAGCGCAAAGCACTCGCACATGGTTGAAACAAGAAACGTGCAAATAAATAATATCTGAACAGAAGGAAACCGAATGAAAACCAAACCCTTGGCGCAAAAAGCACAGAAATATATAACGACCAAGTTGATGTATGAAATGTCAAAATTGCGAATTGATTCTGTTGCAATATAACCTGCGCCCTGCGCTATGCAGATAGGCAACCCAATGTACTTACCAATTCATGCACGTTAAAAACTATATTTGTTTTGTTTTAATTGATCCCGAGTAAAACAAAGTCAAGGAACTAAAAAGCAAAGAATATTAAAGAGTTTAATTAAAGGCTAACCACTTTTCGTCGACTTTCACTGAGCGCGGCGAACGTAAAAGTAAATGAGTTAGTGCTTGTTCCATTTCCTCGTCTCTCAAGCCGGTCCCGTCGTCGCTCGTCTTATAGAACGAAATAAAACCGCACGAAGTTTGCGCGCGCGAGATGAAGAAAGCGAGTTTTTCCTCATTTTCGCCGACTGCCGCACGCCGCACATCACGCCAGATTTTAATTAATGCGGTGTGTAAGCGGGAAATTGGTCGTGTGCGCTAGAGAAAAACTTTCAAAGTGTAAAATGAAGCAAAACGCACAAAACCGGCGGCAAAATCAAAAAGCGTGCATAAAAAGAACACAAATATATAGATAAGACGCATCCATTGCTGCGGTTGTTGCGGAAAGAATCATGCAGAAGGAAGAAGTTGATGAAAGTGTGCTTGATGGGTAATCCAATTAATTACTCGTTAAAATTATACGCTTTGATGGTTCATTGCTAAAGATCTGGGAAAGAAGTAAGTAAAGTAAACATTAGATGATGAGTAATCACTACCGCTAAGAATTTCAAGAAGAATTTTTTATGAGGTTGTAAACTAAACAAACATTAACAATGTAAAAGTTCAATAGCTAGCACTATTTCCATTTTGTCTTCGCATTGTGAAGAACGTAATTATAGTTAAAGAAGTCCTGGGGCTTTGATGTCTTATTCTTTTTCTGCTTTCGAAATAGAAAATCGCAAAAAATCTGTTCTTCCACGAGAAAACGACTCCCGGATGAAAAAAATTGATGGTCGGCACACTATTATGACTCGCACTTTATTCTCTTATTGAATTCTTCTTAGAGTGAGATGAAAGAAAAGGTCCAGGGTAACAATTCCGGTTCTTAGAGATCTTTTCCGGACAATTTCGATTTGATACGATTGAAGACAAGATGCAATTGCATTGTATGCATCTCAACCAAGAAGGATTTTCTAAATTAGAACAAAATTAAATTAAAAGTACTTTTTACTTGTTTTTAATTTACTTGTAAGTGATTCACCTGAGTGAAATTATTTCGGGGTGTTTATTGAAACCGCTTCATCGTTCTTAAACCAATCTTCACAGTTGAAATTTGAAGCGGCTAGAATTCATCTTAAACCGGAGAGATGGTTTTCGGGTGCAAAACGATTCCGTTGCAATTTGTATTCGGTCATGGGAACGCATGGCGTGGCAGCTATCAGCTACCAGACACATGAACGCGATTTGCCCCGAAACCAACAACCAGCGTGGGGTGCGGCTGGAAGTTGGAATTAAGGTAAACACGAATATGTGTGTACACGGCCCCGCTGCACCCAGAGCTAGCGAGCCAGAGATGGCAGGGGCGTTATTATTCAAGATTACATTTCGTATATATTACCCTCGGCTCCAACTCAGGCACAGCTTCAACGACCGCCAACCTCCAAACCTGCAACATGCTACGACGTCAACCTTCTACTCCGCACAGCTTGCACCAACTTCATTGAGTGTACCAGTATACAGTCATTATACAAAAATCATTATGGTACATAATTTTAATATAAAATTTTTAATTTTTTTCTTGGTTTTTGGGCTGTTATTTGATAAAATTAAGAAAAATAATTTAGAAACTCAATAAAATAAAATTTTGATAACATACGTTATCTAAAAGTATATGAAACCAAAGGAAACTACTTGAAAGTCCATGAAAGTACATTTAGCTGAGGTCGTGCACATGCGTGATACTCACAAGTGCATTTTGGAATCATTTTGAAAACAGTTATGCAACCACATCGGCACGACCATCTACTATCTCTTTCGCACAAGAGTACACATTAAACCTCAACGTCCACATACCCCTTACTCTATATACCTATATATACCAAACCGAAACCTAAACCTCAAAACCCAAAACTGGTGGAGGATGGGAATGGAGGACGACTCACATTGCACTACCTTCGACCAGCGTCGAGTGATAACAGTAAACCATCGCGCTGGGAAACTAGTGCAGCTATTAAACTATTGCAGTGGTAGTTCCAGTTTGAACCATGTGGTCATCTAGTTTTGCAACATTGTGTTATTACTGAAAGCTGGCCACAATACGCCGCAGCAGATGCACCAATATTTGATTAAGAATTGAGTGGTGATAAATTAGAATTGTGTCGGTTTCATGATGATATGAAGGGTATATAAAGTTGGTTTAATTACAAAACGTCAAATACTGCAATAAACTAAGGCTACTTGGATGTGAACTGAGAGGTCAACATAAATATTGAATTCGTTGACCCAAGCGAAACAAACCGGATTGGGGCTTGGAAATCCCGAGGGGATTTCGTTACCAATGATTTTTGATATTTTTCCTTCCAATCTCAAGTTTTTATTCTAGGATTTACACGCGGAAAGGTTTTTGTTGTTGAATTTTTGATTTTTCTCAAACTGCAAGCAATTTAAAATCAAATTAAACGTGAAAACGCTTACATAACCTAAATTATGACCTATACATTGCAAATAATATATAATACTGATTATTTATAAATTTTTGAAATTTTAAATTGAAGTAAACCAAACTTTTAATTTTTAAATTTTTGTTTATTGTTTTCTTAAAATTATTCCCTTCATTCCACGTCGACGAGCTTGATAGTTGTAGGTTAAATGGCAGGATGCTCGAATGTTGGATGAGAGTGGTCTGCGGGAGTGGATAGAGAAGGTTTGGGACGAGATCGACGCGGGAATTTGGCCCCGCAAGCCCCGACGCGCGCGCGCTAATCTGACCGCAGAAACTTGTGCGCGCCTCGGTGCGCCTTTCCTCGCTCCTCGGGCAACAATATACGAACCGCACTTACGTCTCTCGCCGCCGCCCCGACCGTTCGCAACCAGCCTTAACAATCCGCAAGAATTCTGCACCGTCCCAACCGTTCTGAGCTGCAAATCATCATTTAAAGTGCATCCTGTAATGTATCAGAGAAGCAAATATATAGAGTGTTATAGTAAATTTATAAAATTTTAAATATTTTACTACTTTAGTAAAGAAAATTATTGTAACATCCTGTATTTGTTGTGTTTATGAGAGTTTTGCTCTGTGGATCATAAAACACCGGGTAAAAGTTATTCGCCGTGAAGTGGCCAGAGGTAAAAGTAGGAGGCGGTAAAAATACTGTTCTCGAGGTTTATTCGGGTTCACACTAGTGCATTCAAATGTTTTAGTTGTTGTTGTTTATTTCGTTTACTTTAATTTTCAGCAAAAATGAAAAAAATTTCGGTAAAATTTTATTTGCGCAAGATTTAAAATAAGAGTCGTGAAAAACTATCACATTTGGCTTCTTCTCACATTCGAATAAGTTTTTGCACGTCCGCACGAAAAACTATGCAGGGTCGCGAGCGCTTCTCGCTTTCAAAGTAAGATTTATTCAAAAGATTTCATAATTTATCGAATAGAACGCTTAAATTCCGCGCACCATTCTCGCACCGCGCATATTTCGTGCGCTGGCGGCGAGGAAAAATGCGGCCGAGAATGAAAAGCACGCCGGTGTGTAGCTGGGCGATGCGCCGACGACGTGCGCCCATTGTGGGCGCGAGAAAAGTGTCACACAAGAATAATAATGCGAAGTTAAAGCGAGCAGAAAAGGTATTGTGCATGCGCGCGCGCCTTCCGAAAAGAAAACCTAGAAAAAGAAAGAAACGCGGATGAGGAATGAGTTTTTCCTTCCTAATTCTTCATGTGCTATGTTGGTTGCATACCTTCTGTAAGAAGATTCCTAGAAAATCTAAAAAGGTAAATTAGTTCAAGATGAAAGCATTTCTTCTACTTGGTATCTGCGTATGAATAAAAATTTAAAGCATTCAGAGGTAGACGCACAAGTCTCAAATCAGTGATTTTAAGGGTAGTCCTGGTTTGAGGTTAGAGTTTGTGCCCAGTGGTCCAGAATATTAAACAAACATAAAGGTCCACGGCTGCCGCAAGGTGGCGTTATATATGACCGTACCGATTTCAATACTTCCTGCGTTTCTGGCTTCCTGCCGCCGCCCCCAGCCTATCAGTACGCACGCGATTTATATGTTCTCGTGCCGTCCCAACGCCGAATATTATAATTGATCGGTAATAAAAGACGATTTATCGTCGTCGCCGCTTATCGCTTATCTTTTGCATTCCTATCCGGGGCAATGGCGGCGTGGCTGTGACTTCATCGCTGCGCTTCATTGACGCTGGTCGATTTTGGTCCGTTTCGGCGAGAGGTGGCTGTCGCGGCCATTTCTACCCTTTTGCACACCTCGCCCGCCGTCCTAATATGTCCTTATGGTTCCTGGTTTTTAGTTGGAGGCAATGTTTCATCCAGGCGGATGTCGCGCGCAGGCGGCCGGCTTGCGAGCCTTCGTATTATTCATACGACGACTGCGGTGGACACGCGACAGCCAGGAGGCATGACCGGAAGTCATCTTAATTCTTTATACAGGGTGTTGGAAATTTAAAAAAAATATATTGATTGCGTAGTTTTTTATTTTAACATTTATCCAATAGAACTGGTTAAAAATATTATTTTGTTATATTGTGTAGTTTGCCAGGTTTTCCATCTTAATCTTCTTCGGGACCTGCCGTGGAAGTTCTAGGTCCCTTGCCGCCTCTACGGCCTTTACCTCCGTGACGTGTACCGTTTCTTCCACGTGGATGTCTTGCGCCTCTACGTGGTGGAGAAGGTCCTTCGGAAGTGCCCATATCAGAAGATTCATGATCTTCACTTGCGGATGCCTGGGACTATAAATAAAATATTAACAAATATTAAATATTTAAACGATTAATGAAAATTTAACTTACCACTATGGCAAAAACCACAAAACCGTGAGGAAAAGCAGAGTTAGTTTCATTTTAAAATATTTTTTAAATTTTGACTTTTTAAAAGTTATTCTGAAACTGATACTATTCCTAAAAATGATTCGCCTTATATACTCGTTGTAATTGTTAATTTCAACACGCGATTTAATAATAAGTGATCATTGACACATCCTGTTTTTATGCGAAAATGAAGTCATTAAACATCAGTCGATTAGTTACAATATTCAAATTTCTATTCAGTTATTTCTTCATTGTATGCTTTCAATTCGTACAAAGTATTTAAAAGGAATAAAATACATATTCCGCATTGGACCAACTCAATGGTAAAGTCTAGTCAGCTCGTTAAAACGGCGGAATGCTAGAAAAGCTCGTAAAGTTCGTTCCGGGGCAATTAAAATGAATGAACGCTGGCGCGCGTGTAATTTGCTCGCAAAGCGGTCAATACGCCACTCGATTGAAATCGGTATCACGTTGCTGCTTCCTCTTCGACGTGAACCGTTCCGCATTGCCGCCCGAACGCAATTCGATGCAATTTACTTGCGAAAGGTTATCTACGAGCGCCGGGCCGCACATTTCGTTAGCTACAGAAACTGCAGCAGGCAAAGCTCCACTTGAAGTGCCTCTTCTTGCAACTCTGAGTAAATTCCATTCGATATTGAGCGATGATATTGGCTCCGCTAACGAACAACCGGAGCGGCCAAATTGAAATGTACTGTTCTTCACGGTAAGAACAATATTTCAATACAAATATAATCAGCGAGACGTAGGTACATGTGCTATGATTGGATGTTGCCGAAATTGCTTTTATTAAGGTAGAAATTATTTCAAAATATAATTACATGTAAAAAAATAAAACTTTTGTCGGTAAATCTTCATTTTGTTAGTTTCTGATGTAAATATAGACATGTTGGGCTTTGTGCATGTGCACATTCTTCGCATACATTCCACAAACCAATTTTACAATATGTCCTTCTAAGTATTTTTGTAATAAAATCAATTAACTTTTTTTTAAATTTATAAATACTTACTTTTAATTCTGGTTAAGCGAATAGCAATAATCGGATTGGTGTCTTTAAAGTTTGTAAGCGGAAATGAAGTGGAATTAAAATAAGGTCGTGGATAATAATCAACTTTGCCGATTTTTCTTGGTCATATAGAGTTTCACCCTTGCAATTTACCCAAAGTCTCTGAAAATATATTTTTTTAATAAATCAATATATACACATATTTATGCTTTACAGAAGCTTTAAGTTTGATTTTTGGGCGTAATTCGCTTGGTAAATCATCGGGAATATCAGCATGTAAGGTGTATTGTTCAGGTAGCCACAAGGTCAACTAAAATAATAAAAATTATTAATTTTAAAATTTTTTAAATTTTTAAATAAAACTTACTCTATTTAATTTAAGGAAGATACAAGGTGTTTTTGCTTTGTATCCATAATCAGGAGCCTTGCAAGGACCCAGTGTCTCCTGTCGTAGATTACATTGCAATGAACTGTCACACTTCTTTGAATAATCTGCGATAAAACAAATAGTAGATTTGTTAACAAATGTATGAACTTACCAGTTAGCATGGTAGCAATCCGTTTGACATAAGGTGTCTCTCGACGATTCTCAAACGAATCTTCACCTTTGCTTCCATAATAAATGAGTGACAACGGACAGTGATCGAGATTAACCATACTGGGAACCATAGTTAACCCTGTAATTTACATAAATATTAAATATTTGATTATTTTTGATTTCTTGTTTGTGTATACCAGGATATTGCGGTTCTTTAAACTTCAATTGCTTGAATGGAGGGTTAGCAGGATTTTGATAGAAGTTGACTTGAGTCATGTATACAGCCGTGCAGAAGAAAAGGAGCATAAAACAATTAATGATGATATAGTAGAAGACAATTTTCACTGAAACAACAAAAACACGAGTAAATAAATGATATTATTTTTACTTCCAACTTTAAAGCATCAGTTTTCTCCGGTTTTAGACACAAAAAGTGGTACTTTAAACCCAGGCGGCCAGGGACGTGACTAAAGTGCAAGTGCAGGTGGAAATAAAGAGGATGTAGAAAGAATAGCATAAGCATCACGTGGCTAAAAGTTGATAAACACTCGATTGATTAAACGTGACAAGAACACCCGTTTAGCCACTTGACACTTAATATACTAAAATTATAATGTTTGATATCTACTCTTGGTGCATTTGCACTTCGAAATCCATTTGCGTTTGCGCAGGCACGCATCACAGCAATCGCAGCATTGCCCAAATCGCGACCATCGCGAGCTCTCTGAATCGCTTATGACCGGCAGTGGTAAATCATCCTCCTCCAGGTAGCTGCGGCTTGAATGAGAGATGTTTGTCAAATCATCCTCGTCGTTCTCATAGATGATCAAGTTGTAAACGCTGCGATTTTGCAAGACCTGTTGCGGAGTAGTTTCTGTAGCTTCACTGCGAGTTTCCGAATTTATCGATAGTTCAATCTCGTTTTGTTCATCGCTTGAACGCAAGTCCAGTTCATGTTCATCATCATCGTTATACATTTCTTTTTATTGCACTTTAAATTATTCGCTGATTATAATGCTTCTAATGTTGCTCTAAAAGACAGCAGTTGATTTTTTGGATAATTAAATGTCATTAAAACTATAGCAACAACTTTGTCTTTAAAAATCAAAGTCAGTTGTAGAGGGCGTAATTGGAAAATATGGAGCCCTTGATCTATACTATAAAATGAATCGCAAAATCTGTTGGTAAGCACATAACTCAACAACGCCTCGACCAATTTGGTCAATTCTTTTTAAATGTTTATTAAAGTCCAAGGCTGGTTTTCACCGCGAGAAAAATTCGAATAAAGGCCGGTAAAACTTTAAAACAGCCCTTTTCTATATAGACTAAGAGCCCGTGACGGCCAGACTTTCGTCATTTTAGGAAAGCTGAAATTTTGTCCATGTGTTTTTCCAACACAGGTAAGAACGATCCCCAATTATGAAACCTGGATCGTGGTTCCTTTGGCAGTTAACAGCTAACAAAGATGTACACTTGATGACCTATGTTTCGTTATTTTAGCAAACTCCATTTTTGCATATTTTGTTCGTAACATTATTATAACATGCGCTGCTCATTGCCAGACACCTGGTATGGTTCCAACCCTAGCCAGACACCCCTAAAGTATAATATTTTTGAACTTTTTTACTTTCGTTATATTAGGAAAGCTGAATTTGATACACATTATGCAGAGAGCTATGAAACTGTGTTTTCTTTCACGCCAGACAGTTTGGTCGGTTCTATCATCCTGCCAGACGCATTGAAAGTGTTAAAAGTTGCAAAAGTTAACTGGCTCTCGCTCTAATAGAAAAATTGGCATTGAAAATCAATCACAGTTCTAGTTAAATATTTGAATCCCAGATGGCGCGCTGAAGTGCATTATTAGCAATTCTTTACATAATAAATTTCTTTAAAATAAAATTGCGATTCTTATTGATCGAATTGACACATACTACGTCTAGAATAAGACAGTAAAAACGAAATACATTTTTATTAAGCACTACCGGGACAAAGTCGCGGGTAAAAGCTAGTTTAGTATAAAAATTAGTGTAAAAGCAAAGAATGTTATCCCGAAATAATATTTGTTTCTTTACACTTCTTGTTCTTTTAATCGTCTTGAAGGTTTTACAATAATAAAACTCATTTTATGTTCACCACACCGTGACATTCAATATTTCCCCTGGATTCCTGCAGTTTTCACGCTGAGAGCCACTAAACTTTTACTACTGTTTTATAACTGGGCACAGAAACTAACCTAAAACCAACTCCACTTACCGCGAGTATTTTTTAATTCCCAAACCATTCTCAGTGCCGTTTCTTGACATAGTGATTTGTGATGCGCTTGTGCACTTAAAGCGTTGATGTTAGAGTGTCGTTAGAAACATTTTGTGAGGCGTCCAACAGTTGGCAACATTGTTAACGGCCATTTGCCGCGGACAAATGACAACCATACATATTTTAAGGTTATGGCTGAGATGAACAATTAATTCGCGTTTTTTTATGGCAAAAACACGTTTTAACGTAGGATTTGCATCGTTTTGGTTAGCACAGCTGGATAATAAAAATTATACGATACACAAGCTGTCCGGATGATGAAACAAACCTAACCTCAAACTCAAATTGAAGCGGAACGGAGTAGAGCTTCCACCAGCGTCATTTGAATATTTTAATAACCAATTTCGTCATTTCATCAAATACGTGACGCTTTTATGAAATTTCAGATAAATATTAAATCTGCGAACTTTTTCGTTTGCCAACACCCGGGCACTTGCTTAAAGTTGAATTTTTCATCGGCGAAGCGGCGAAAACGTCATTAGCATAGTGACAACACCGAAGCAGACACAAAATAACCGCCGAAAACGAACTTCTCCACGCGCACGGATCGAGAAAACCCGAAAATAAAAAACGCAAGAAATGCACGAGATGAGAGGCTGGAGATAAACATAAATGAAGAAAAGTGCGTTTCTTCGGTTAAGATGGCGGCGGTGCGTTGGTAGGAGACAAATAAGAAAATATGCACGTCAATGTCGAGTTGTCGAGAGGGCGGGTAATACAATTAGACTCGAAACGGACAAATAAAATTATGTAAAATATGCGTGCGCCCCAAGCGCGCAGAGAGAGAGTGGCAATTGAAAAAGTTTGCCAATTTTTTCGGCTTCCATCTTAAAGTCTCCCAGCGTTGCATTAACACAAGCTACGCCTTGCGTGCGGCAAATTCGGCGAATTTTGTTACATCCTTTCTTTTTGTCCGGGACATTCGTAGGCGCATTTCTATTTCTCATTTTTCCGTTTTATTTCATTATCTTCTTTATTTTTCCATGCCTCTTCGTGGGCAGGATGAAAAACATCTCGGGTGGCAATGCCGACGAGAGGATTGCCGAGTCGAAAAGACGGAATGAGAATTTACATTATTTCGTGCGAACCACCTTCTGGGCGGAAAGCACGTAGCGTAAATTTCGTCGCAAATTGTCACGCGACAACGTTAACCTAAAATATTCCACATCTGTCGGAAACAAAACCGAGAAACGTCAAAAT